ATTTGAATTTTACTTATAGAATCTATGAAAGCTCGAATCTTCCCTAGCGTTGAGCTTATTAGCATTTTCTTATTCTATGTCCAATACATATTAACTTTTAATTAAGCTGAAATTTTCCTGATGATTTGGACCATTATGTTTTGAAGCAATACATAGCTGCTGAGGTTTTTCAGGGAATACAAAAGGGAAACTTTGTTGTATTCTGGTTACCCCACGGACATTTTTGCTAATTGTTTAGATTGGAAGTTAGTATACTAGAATTCAAACAACGCTTGGAAATTTCTTTATGCGTATAAGTAATCGTTGGTTTTTCCATTTCTTTTGAAGTTTTCCAACATATGACTGGATTTGTTTATTGGAACTTTTACAGCGGAGGTTTACTGGAAGAAATCAAATCATTAGTTCATCGTCACCCTGATAAACTCTCTGTCAGTATTGAATTGTATTTTTTGAGATTAATGTTTATCCGTTGACAATACAAGTTATGTTTTCTAATAATTACTATTATTTAGCAGATGGAGAAAATTTCTAGTAAAAACAAAGGCTATGAGGCAGAGATGACAGTAGTTACTTATTGCCAGAATAGGAAAGAGACCGATGACAGATCAAAGTTTAGGATTCTTCTTGTAAGTATTTGTCTTACAGTTTTTCAATATAATCTTCATTTGAAGTGGTGATAATTAATTTTACTATTTTAAAATTAAGAAAAGAGGCAATGTCTGTGATTAAATGAATCTTAACCTTTCTGGACTTTAATATAAGATAAATGTGTTCTGCACAAAATCCTCCACTCAATTGGAAGCTAGAGTTTTAAAAATCTCAGATTGATTATTGCTGGTGTTTTTGACAGATAATTACTTGTATTCCAGAGTTTTGGACAGCATGGTCGGGAGCTCATTACCACTGAGCTAGCATTGCGGCTCCTCTCTATTTTAAGTGAAGAGGAATTCTTACCTAACATGGACCGTGTTGCATTAAATAATACTCTTAGTAGGCTTGTCATAAAGGTATTGTATATCCATGAATTTATTGGATGTGAAAATTTACGTAGATATTGTCATTATATGAAATTGCAAAAACCATCACATTTCTTGTTGAATTCATGCTGATTGCGATTACATATCAAGTTTTCTTCTGTCAATTTCTGACTTCCACGTTGATCTGTATGTGAATACAGTTATTGAAATTTCTAGAAGCTGAATGTTATTTTTGTTATTGCATATTTACAAGCTATTGTGTAATTCTTATTACTTTTAATGTATTGTTGAGAACTAATGATTACTTGAATACTATTGCATTTTGATCTGTCAGGTTGTACCAATGGAAAATTGGAATGGTCGCAAGCTTGTTGAAGCAGGAGAACTGTGTGACAGAAGAAATGGTAGTACTATGGGTCTTGGTTGCTTAAAATTCAACATGTTGCTACAAATAGAACCACTGAGATGCTCAGGGTTTTGAGTTACTTGCAGGAAGAGGAGTTGATCTCAATCGAAATTGGAGTGTAGACTGGGGCAAGAAGGAGAAGGTTTGTCTATTTCTTTTGTAGGACATGAGAAGGTCCATTCAGTTAATATGTTATTAGACTGGGATCTTTGAACTTTGTCCAGCTATATCAAAACAGTTATCTAGTTATCTTGATAGTGTCATTGACATAAATTTAGGCGATGGTTCTATGAAAATTT